TCAAACCCTCATTATATTTATAAAAAGTTTTTTTTTATAATTGTTTAAACATACTGGCAAAGAACTTAAATCAATACACGTATATGAAATATACACTTGAATAATGGCAACATTTACCCCCCAAAAAAAAAACAAAAAAAAAACGTGACTGTTCAAAGATGTATACTTAAATGCGTTAAATATGCATTGTACATGTACAGAATGTTACAGGATGCAGTCTAGGTAAACTCATTGATGTTATTTCTACTTCCACGTGATGGCTTAGTGGAGATGAAATAGGCTCTTCAGTGGTATAGGTGATGATGTGTTAAATTAAATATTCATCAGTTGATAGTTAACGATAACAAACCAATAACGTCAAGAAAGTTTTTAAAAGATTTGATCCCAGAACCACACATAACGTGATCGATGCACCGACCAAAACGGGACAGGTAACCTCGATTCGATTAACACTGGCTTTGTTTGTACTGTAGTGTAAATGAGGTTGAAACCGTTACCTTTCTATTATGCCTTTTGTATAGTTGAGGACGTGATAAACGTTTGAACCTTGCCCAATCTCTCAGTAATAACTGTTTGTACTACAGAGGTTACAAAAGTTTTATCTATAATGATTAATGATGAATTTACATCCAATTTTCATTTTTAAGAAGAGAGATCGGTTTCGATTCAGCTAGTTATATATATTTTCTTATATCAGCTATTACTATGTGCTCATTTTGTTTTAGATAGTGTCTGAAGTCATGTAGATAGGGTATTTTAATTCAGATACGTTTTCAGTGTACATGTATATCTTTTTTAAACAATGGGTAATAGTTTTTTTTATAGAATAAATTATTAAATTGCTTTATTATAAGAAGTAAAATGATTTAAAGAAAATTAACTTTCCATCAATATGTCAATGAATATATTTAAGTCGTGTATACTATACATTGTATCACATGGATGTCATTTACACTGTACGAGTAATTATTGTATTATAAAAAATGTATTTAGTGTAACGAGTTATCTTTCTATTGAGCTGTTATTGCCTTTGTAATGAACATCTGTCACAAAGGTCACTTTGTTTTGAGAGATTCGTTTTATAAATAAAACGACATGACAATGAAATCATGTATCCGCTTTGTTTATTTGAATCAAAACTCGACTATTATCAGTACAACGAAGTTAGATTGATATTTAAATGCTATCATAAATAAATAACATCTTAATCATTATCGATGCTAATTTAAATTAAAATTAAATTAAATTAAATCAATAATAAAATGTATCCCCACAAACAGAAAAAAATCAACATTGTTTGACTTGTCAACATGACATGAATCTGAGACCTACTTGACCCGTGTATCTCATCTGCAGTCCCTTTGTTGAAGTGCATTAATGGGTCACACGTGCCTCCGTGCCGACAGGAAGATTTAACGTGCGCCTTATTTTATATGTAATGTCGTAAATATGTTAGACTAAAGCCACCCACGTACATTTTTTACTACGTCATTTCAATGTTTGTACGACAAGACAAATAAACTCACAAAATGACAATATATTGGCGATTGTTCAAAAGACACTCATAAAAAGGAGATAACAACTGTCAATATAGCATTAGGTACTGAATAGCACCACGTTTGGCCAAGTGATGAAATCACCTGCGCCGTACAGCACTTCCGTCCTTCTGAGACTCGCCTGTGGCGCCATTAAAAGGACTCAATTTAAAACTTGATATTCCACTGATCGAAAGGAATATCAAAATTTCTAGATGGTTAAGTGTACTAACTCCATTAATCAATATTTTTCTCTAATATGTATATATCATATAATTCTACCAAAAAGTAACCTTATAATATATACATTTTCGGTAGGTTTATTTGCTGAATGCCGAATACCCATAGCAGTGTTATTTTCAGTCTTGCTCATAAGATCGGGAATATCTCTTTTTGTCAGAAGTATTTGTTTGTTTTTAAAGAATATCGTCAATTCAGTCGCAGTCATACACTTACGGTCATTATGGGTTGATTGTCACTCACAATAGATCATTTATTCACATTTACACTTTTAAAGTTTTAAAGTTCAAACATCCAAACGTCATAATTATTCTTGTTTCCCAACAGGACGAATATCTATCATGTAAATAGTTCGTGTACTCAGTATAACCTGTATGTTATCTAGAGCTCGGGACTGTTCACATTATTTATGATAAAACAGTGCACATATATGTAGATATCTACTATCTGGTTTGGATAACTGCCAGGATGATTTGATTTTATTTGAAGAACATCCGTTTATAAATGTATAAGAATAGAACTGATGTCATGTCCATTGTCACCAGTGTATTTAACAGCACTATTGTGTAAATCGGAGACGTAGTTCTCGTTCAAAATACTAATAACGGGTCGAATGGTGTTTTTGTATCAGAAAAAATAAACGTCACATGATTTAAAAGAGAAATATTCTTATGTTTAAAAATAATGAAAATTTGACAATAAGTAAAGCAAAATATCGTTATACAAGATATACCATGTTTGTAAATGGAAGGAACTTATCAGCAACTCAAACTCTCTGCTATATCATGTCAATTTTAATTTATCTTCACACTACAAACAATTAATGCTATTTTGATCATCCCAAGATTCACTTAATTTTCCTTTCAGAGTCTGCAATGCAGCAGAGCTCTGAAGGCTCTCTGTGTTTCCAAAAAATCGCCTATGTTCTAAAAATAAATATAGAAACACCGAGCTACCCACGTCACACTGATTAGTATAGACATTCAGCGGAAATAGTTATCTTATCAGCGTGGTAAGTCAGTGATCCATATGCAGTATAGTGAATTATAATTGGTTGCAAAAATATATTCATACATCGTTGTGCATTACCTGCTGTGCAGATTATTGCTGAAGACATATTAATGTAATGTCGATCTAAAAATAGAATAATTTCTCGGAATAGTAAACACATCAGGGAATTCCCCATCATTCAGGAATCTCATATATATAAACAAAGTTCACATAGGATCCAGCAACAGACGGATGTCAGACAAAGGAGACCTGGAATGACGACATCAACTGTCCCATTCTACGTCGGAATAAGTGTGAGGTAAGTAATCTAAACACTGTGCTTGTACCGGCGCGTTAAATATACCGACATCGCTGCAATCCTGTGTTTACGATCATTACGCAAATGTATTATGTGTGTTGTATGATGTAATCATTTGCATAAGATGGCGGAAATATGAGGCCATACTGAATACTGCTATATTTACTGACATTCCCATTCGGAGTCGACTTAAATGTGCATGTATATGGTACTTCACTGTCATAATCCATTATATGCCAACTGATCGATCTATTCAGGTAAAGTAACGTGCGTTGTTGTAAACGAACAAGTGTAGTGGGCTGACCGTTTGTTTATAGTGTCAAACTGTTACAGAAGCCTTGTCACGTGACGATAACAATGATCACGGGCACCCTGTCTCTGCTATGGAAACATTATCAAAATAACATTTTTATGAATTTTCTACTAATTTATCTTTATGGTGATCCTAAAATCTACTTCTGTACTTGTGAAACACCACACCAAGATTGTGTCGCTATACTGCATTGGGAAACCCACACGTACAATGTAATAGTTCGTATGGCCTGCTTTCATATCTCCTGTATATGTGCTTTGTAGGGATGGAAATATTGTCTTAAGAAACAGAATTTACGTCTTTTAATACGACCTTTCAGCAGGTAGATTTGTATTTATAATATGTGTACTAATAAAAACAACAATATGTATGTAACCTGGGTTGTTAAAGGAGCAACATATGGTGAGGACACCAAATAAAAAACACAGGAGAATTGATGCCGGTTATATGGTACGCGTATTGTGATGTAAGTGGTGACAAAGATCATTTGTAATCTGAAACTATCATTATAAGGCCATACAGTGTAGCGTAATGGATGTGTATCAAACCTTCCACGTATACGTGACCAGGAAGTTTTCCCAACACAATGTTGACAATGTTAGGCCACTGGCTTATCTAGACGCTTACTGTCCACAACAAACCAAGAGCCTATACACTGTCATGTTTGGAAAAATTGTGCGAGACATATCACCACGGACGTTTAGATATCTAAGTCTGTAATATAACTGGTTTTATAGTATTATACATTTTATCAGTTCCCTTATACAATACGAGAAGGGGAATTTACATTAACCCCAGCCCGACCCCAAAGGAAATACAAACATAAAAATATGTTACGTGCATTAAAAGGATGATTTATAATTTGATTGGGTTGATCAATTTTCGAGATATACACATTTATTTATTTTTTGCGAAATCAAATCAGCCCCGGTAGCTGTATATAGCCGAGACGCAAAGAAAACGATTTGAAGGTGTTTCTCGATTTATCAGACAGGACTCTCTCTCCTAATCAGTTACCGTTAAATTTGATAAATTTGTTTATCAATTGTACAACAAACGTGAAAATTTCCAAAAAAATCAATGAGTTCCAAGAACACAAGTCTGAGATCCTCTTTTATATGTCTTTGTGATATGCAGCACATAGAGATTTAGATTTAATCAGTTATCATCATAATATGTAGGTAAGAAAACGAAACCAGAAGACTAAATAGACTTTAATGTTAATATACAGTTTACTGAGTACATTAGTGAGTTTAAACATATCGAAAACGGAAGTAGTGTGTTAAGAAGTGAAGCATGTGAAAGCGAAAGTGAAACCAGCTTTAATATCATTTATTTTCTTGTTAAAGTGAAATCACTGCTATTTAAAGAAGATTATGAAATAACTGTTGTATATATGTGACTACAAAATACGCGCATCCAATAGTAAAAGAGTAACTCTGTATATGATGTTCGATGTTTGACATACATACATTTTTTAAAGCAACACCTTCATTTCAGTTCGATCGTTATTGATACTATACATTTGATTATTTTAGTATTCGATGAATTCAACAATCAGTCACGTGAGACTAGGTGATGGCAGTATGTTAGACATCTAACGATGGGAACACATTTATCCAATCAATTCACCGGTTCGTCATTGGAGGAGGAACCGCCCGACCATTTACCACCTGTATCAACAGGGTCGACTACTCAAGTCATCGGAACCACTGAACCAATTCAGCACGATCTGGAGGACGAATCTCAGGACATTACAAAGAACGGTCAAACTGGAGGTCAAATCAGAGGTCAACGTGACAATCTCAAAGAGCAAAAATCTAGTGAAAAGTCAAAAGATGACCTAACTGGATGTGAAATTATCTACCAACGTGACAATAACTTAACAAGAAGAGAAAGTCTGACAAGTTCAGGTCCAGTAAGCATGGAACTCAACTCCACTGACAACGATGTCAGCACGTGCGGACGTTCCACTCCCGAAGACGACATCGAATATGATCTAGAAACTTCGAGGTCGTTTGAGTTGGATGAACTAATTATTGAAGCGAACAATTTGATCACGAATAAAGAACCAGAGAGAGCCAAAAGGATTATCACTGCGATATGTGAGAGACTTCAAAGGTCTTATAAAAATGACGGAGACCGACAATACCTCGACTACAGTCGTTACTATCACGACTGTGCCGATCTGTACCGATTGGTAAGTATTTCAACAGACAAATAAATTTTATATAGTAATATTATATGTTGAATACCCATACGTATGTATTTCACATTCAAATTGATATTTTCATATTTCAAACATTTTTTTTTCATTCTGAATCAGTTGTCATGTAGGTACCTGATGTACGTGTTCCTTGATCAATTTAATTTCAATTTATTATCGATTTTTTAAAATTCTTATCACATTTTAATTTTATTACAGGTAGGTGATCCCAACCATGCTCTGAAGATGTTCTACAGAGGTATGTCGTGTTTGGAGTATCGTGACATCTGGTCTCATGTCTATACTTACCTACGTCGAAAAATGCCGTTTCATACATATATGTTAAAAAGATTTCGGCATTCATGTTAATCACTATATTTGTCAAAATCCTTCATTAATAAATGAGTGAAGAACTGATAAATGTAATCAGCATTATTGATCACATCATTGTCTTCAACATGTACACTCCAAGTCCATCATATTTTAATCTCGCTTGAATCCGAGTCAAATTGTTTCGACGTCATCTACGCATTCAATTAGAATATTTAATGTAATTTAATACACAATGTTCACACATCAGATTTAATTGATCACATGACTCCAGCTGGTTACATACTTAATATTGTATTACGGCCAGCCACAATCATCATTATGTTCCAGGAGTGTTGTACCAGGATGATACCCTGTTTCTGGATCACCTTCAAATATCTACAACACTTTGGAAAGAGACTATGGACTCCGGCGCATCTTTACAGGTATTTTTCTTGTAATCATTCTACAATGTGACATATAATGTGCAGGAAAAAATAATGTCAAATGATTCATTCATGTCACAGCGGCGTAGCTTTTGAAGTTGAAATGTTATTCAAATTTTAAAAGGGTAAAGAAAAGACTACAAGTTTTGTTTTATCATTATTAATGGTGAAATTCTATTATCCATATAAACTATTTAGATTATCCCAAAATTTTATGTAGACATTTTAAAAAATCTGAAAACAAAACCAACCCTACAAAATATATCGGAAACAGTCGCACAAGCTCTGATTCAAAAGACATGTCTCTACAGAAAATTTAATTCATTGATGCTATAAACAGATATTTGTTAGAAGTATTAATTGCAGTTTTGGTGACGTTTGATTTATCAGGAAATCCTGACTATCGCCTATGAGATACAGGTTCTTGCTGACAGCAAGCTAGAACAGTGTTTGGGACGAGCGGTCGTTATCCCGATGTGTGTTTACAATGACCTTTTACTGATCTACAAAACCCTCCAGATGAAGCACGTCTTGTACCCTGGCGTTTCGGAGGGAAAACTGAAGGCATTGCTTCAATGGTTAAAATGCCTCCTTATGGATGTAAGTGATTTCCAGGAACATGTTCAGTTCTGTTGGATTTGTTACCTTATGGCCTTTGAATTTACTTGTTACACCCGTATAACTGAAGCTTTTGCAGAATATTACACGATTAAGGAACTCATATCTTCATGTCTATGCCAATGTGTAAACTACTCAATGTAAACCCTATTTTCTTTTAAAGGGGAAAGTACCACAACAGGTAGCAGGAGTCTGTAAAATAGGTAAGTGAAATTCTTGATAAATGGCTGATGAACCATATACATAGAAATTCATACCCTCTAAAATTTTAAGCAATCTTCGTTTCTTTCTCATATGAATGTGTCTACTTGTAAAGAAATAAAACAGCGGGATAGATATATGTAAACAATGATATTGTTCTAGCTCCAAATTTGCACTGATACACACAAGGAGAATAAAACCATGGTAAGTTTTACGATCTGAAGCATTGTATCATAAAACTTAAACAACGTGAAATATCACTTTAACATAATGTTTGAATGCCTTGTAATTAGCAAAGAAAGTGTCGCAAATTTAATTTGAAAACTGTATTTTTTCCTGGAGAAAAATGGTGTACTTATAACTTAGGAAAACACAAATTCAGTCCCCTGTTAAGTATTCAAAATAACACACTATCAACTGAGCTCTTTCTATCAGTATTAAAGGAGTACCCGGACAACGGTTCGATCCTTGAAATATGGGCCCGAGCCCTACAGCATATGGGGAGGCTTGATCTGGCTCTGAAGAAGACCGAACAAGCACTTCTCTACGTGAAGGTGAGATGATTCGTGATATCTTTTGTATATAGTATACATTAATTTCTTAACATATTCTTAGATCTTAAGCATAAAACAAGTATGCTAATATCCATAGAGATATTTTTTACGAAATTTTAAGTCGTCATAGTGATCTTATTGATAAATATTCTATTTCTTTGTGCGATATGAAGCTGAATGTGTTTGGACTCGATAGTTGGCCTGTTGGTTGCGTTGTTTTTTTTATACCTTGTTCTCATTTCAAATCCTGACATCACTTACTTGGATTTACATTTATGAAGACGCTGCTTCCTCTCGTACTTTTTCAGAAGTCTCCGTGTAAATAATTCTTTTGTTCTTGTGTTTTATTCGGGTTTGCATTATGATTATGTTGACATGTTGGTATTCTTATTTTATCTACTAACATGTTTATTGGATACTGTAATATGCTTCGTATGACAGTATGATACGTGAATAAACGACTTTGTCTAAAATATCCATTGCTTTTTTAGAATCCAAAGCATAGATCAACACTGGAGGCTTTAAAAAGGGATATTACTTCCGCTGAAATGAAACAGATAAGTGCAACAGAGTCAAAGACACCTATCAGAGCGTGGTTAGAAGGAAGCAATTTCATGGAACCTTACAGGGTGAGTTTCATATTTGTTGTAAATCAGTAATATTAAGACGTAATATTCGTTCTTGTGTGAACGGAATCTAGCTTAGAAAACAACATGCATATAGAAAAAGATAACAGCAATATTCCTTATTCTTCCTTTTAAAATCATTCGGTTTTCTCTATATCTTATAGAACAGTCCACGTGTCGAGGAATTAAAGGAAAAACATGTTAAGAAACCGCATCGCAGACGTGAGTATTGACTGATCTATTATGACAGACGGGAACATGACTAAGATATCGAGTAGACTCCTCCTGCAAAAGTTAATTCATACGGGGCATACTAACACCAAAATGATTCTTTGATATAAACAAAGTCATGTAAATCTTTCAAAGAAGTGCATCACTTGTAGTTTGAAGAAAAAAATTGTCAATGATCAATTCTATTTCAGCGATTGACAAAGAGCAACATTTTGGAGTTATTTACATACTTGTCTATCACGGAATCATTGTCGTTATAAGAACTAGATATCTAACGTTTCACTATCATCATCATTGTCATTATAAGAACAAGATATCTAACGTTTCACTATCATCATCATTGTCATTATAAGAACAAGATATCTAACGCATCATTGTCGTTATAAGAACAAGATATCTAACGTTTCACTATCATCATCATTGTCGTTATAAGAACAAGATATCTAACGTTTCACTATCATCATCATTGTCGTTATAAGAACAAAATATCTAACGCATCACTATCATCATACAGAAAAAAAACTCTTCAGGCTAAAATGAGGCACCGACATCGTAGTTATCAGGGTTCAAAAAGTAATACATTTTTCATTTTTGTTCTTTATCGGAAAAATCGATGACCATTTTTACAGTTTTTAAGATTTCAGACTTATCTTCAAAGTTAATCCTAAGCATTGCAGATGTTTTAAAACAGGCTTTGCATATGATTACATACGATGTACTGATGCGTTCTATTCTGTTTCATATTTTATGTTTTCCCTTCTGACTCCACTGTCATGTTACAATATTTTTAGAGCATTTCTATATTACATTATTTACGTGCATTTACTTGATTGTTTTACAATGACAATCAAATTAATCATATTTCCTAATTTCAGCCAAAGCTAGGCGGTTTAGCATGCACTCTCCAAATTGGACCGAAACGGAGAGACAGCAGGAAACCGCACGTTCGAAGTCAGCGTCGCCTTATGGTGATGGTCATATTAAGAAGAAGCGACGACGGCGTAATACAGCAGGGTCCGATATCTCGTCTACTGGGAATGGAAAATTCATAGCAAGTGATTTGATGGATGACAAAGAATACACCGCGAGTTTAGAAGACGGCGACGACCACTCAATAGAAAGCGATGAGGAATTCAGCGTTTCCGAAATGCTGAGATCGAGCATATTTGATCTGGAGTTGGGGAAAGCAGACGAAAGTGACTCCTCCGACGCAGATGAAATAAGAAATGCTTACATGGAAACGATGTTTGATCAAAGTGTTGATGTCGACACAGAAAGCGCAGAGGAGGGCATAAGAGAAGATGATCAGCACTTGATTATACATGGAGCAGATCTCTCTCCTAGGTTTGTAGACAGTTGTGGTTTTGATGACAAAAGAAACTACTACACCAATAGCCTGTCGATGAACGAGCTAAATTCCTTAACAAGAAAACACCCAGACCGTTTCAAGAAATGTATTCTCAAGATAGAATCAGCTCATAAGGCGACGTGTGAGTTATTACAACCGGAAGGTGATCTGAAGGAAATAGAGATCAGTGGCAGATCTAAAAGCGGGAAAAACTTCATGGATGATGAAGTAGTGGTAGAGATTCTAAGCAATGATATCAAACAGTCTGATGTTATTCCTCGCTTAAACAAAACTCTGAAGACCTCTGAAAAACAAAAGACATATGGAAAAGTTGTTGGTAGATTAAATCGAAACCGATTTCGAGATATAGAACATCCTGTTTTTGTCTGTGGACTGGATGAACTTGAATACCATTTGATGCGACCGCTCGATAAAACTGTACCAAAGTTACATATATTCAACAGGCATGTTACTAACGGTTTCCAGGTCGAGATTTACGACTATGACTCAAGTTCTTGTGAATTGAAATACAACAAAGTCGTTAACATTAAACCTGCTTTAAAACATAGTTACGTATTTCTGGTTGTATTCATACGCTGGGATGCAGTTTATCCTCTTGGAGCAGTGATCAAAGTTATGCGGTCTGATGGTGGAATAAACAGTGGCTTGAAAATCCTCGAGCTCCAGCATCAAGTGCCAACTAACTACAACTATGATACAGTCCAAAGTGTTCAAAGCATCATATGCAGAATGCCAGAAGAACCTGCTCCAGATCTGACAGAAGGCAGAGTTGACCTTTCGGAAACATTATCTGTTTTTACTATTGATCCGAAGAACTCCAAAGACCTTGATGATGGACTGAGCATCCGAAAGCTTCCGGACACTACAATAGAGGTCGGAGTTCACATAGCAGATGTAACCAGTTTTGTTCAGAAAGGAAAAGCTGTTGACGAAGAGGCAAGAATAAGGGCTACGACATTCTACCCAGGGCAAGGTAGACAAGCTTACCATATGTTGCCTGCACCACTGAGCCAAAATCTTTGCAGCTTACTCCCAAACAAAAAGAGGCTCGCTTTGTCTGTATTTTTGTACTTCAAAGATGACGGACATTTACACCATCACAACATTGAAAAGACCGTAGTCAAATCGAAAAGACAATTTAGCTATCAGGAAGTACAAGACATAATCCTCGAGCAAACGGAAGAAGAAATGGTACTGCGTGCTGATATCATTGCTTTGTTCCAAATTGCAAAAAATTGTCGAAGGAGAAGACTTGGAGACGCCATGCATTCACTCCCAACAGAGGTGGACTTGCTTAATGGTAGAGAATATGAATCTTTATTCGACACTTTAGAAGCACATTACTTAGTTGAGGAATTTATGATATTAGCAAACACCGCTGCTGCGACATTTGTGTGCTCTAGCAGCTTGAGAAACTGTGCTCTTTTGAGGTGCCAAGATGCTCCACCAAATGACAAAGTTAATAAGTGGTTGTCCGATTATCCAAGAATCGCCGACATTATTCTGAAACTGCAGAACATGAAGCCAACTTCACAAAGACAACTGAAAATATCAAACGCACCGAAAGCGAGGTATCGAGTTGTGATCGAACTTCAAAAATGGATTTGGTCTTGCTTGGAACAAAATGTCAAAGACGGAAATTATAGGGATGCATGGAAACTGATCGGAAGTGACGAATTTCATCCTGAACAGGCTGTTGCATGGAATGAATGGATTTGTTTCCAAGAACATGCAGAGTACAGATGTCTCGGTTCCGTAAATAACCGTAAAGAAAGATGTCATTTCACATTAAATATTTCACCATACGCACATTTTACGTCACCGATCCGGCGATATGCAGATATTGTGACACATCGTCTTGTCCATGCTGTCCTGAACAAGCAAAATGCACCCTACACAAAGGAAGAAATTGACGATATATGCTACCATATCAATGAGGTTTCAAAAAGAGCAAAGAAATACGAGAAGCAGTGTAAGGCTTTACATTTCGGTCATGTCCTGAGACATAACCCTGTTATGTTCAACGGCCTCATTGAATCAGTTTCTGATAAAAGCATCCAGCTCCTAATCCCAGGGATGCGAGGTCTACCACTTGCATGTAGAGAAGTCCCACTCAACCTTCTTAATGTGTCACGTAAACCAAAAGTACAAGAAGACCGAGATGATGATCGACCTTTCGACATATTAACCTTAGCCTGGCAAAAGAGACTGTACTCTCACAGAGGCTATGCTCCCTCAACTAGAGGTCTTGCCGAGCTCCGAGTTGATCCACATCAGAAGGCCGTCTTTCAACAATATAAACGTTGGATGGATGTTCTGAAAGCTTTGTTTAGTCATAACACTACATCGCTAAAGAAGATTTTTTCAGAAAATGCAGATTATCAAGAAGGCGATCAACTGAGATCATATGTTCCAGCTTGTACATCAACTGTCTCAGACGTTAGCTCTGAGGTCAGGCAAGGGGCCATTACAAAGCATTTTTGTGAGTTCAGTATGTCTTTCAATCATGCACAAATTCTGTCACTGCAAATAGGCGCAGAACCACAGAAGGGGGTGCTCGTACCAATACCCCAAATATTGGATCTTACAAATAATTTCAAGCTATGCTTGCAGCACCCGAGTGACCCTGTCAAATACTTGGCCAAATATGCGACGACAAAAGCGCATCCTCAAAACTATAGGTCTGTAGCCGAATATCTCGAAGTATGGCTGTCGTTGGTACGTATGGAAGCTGCTACTATGGCGGGCCACGATGACTCAGTCAACGTCAATGACCTCCCTGTAAAATTGAATGAAACGGATGGAACATTTTCCATGACCATAGAATTCTGTGAAGAAAGAAACATTGAGTTCAGCAGCATGTCAATGGATTTCATTCTGCACGGAAACGAAGATGAGGACAAGAAGGACGAAGACAAGTACGTTCCTAGTTCCGACTACCTTTGTCTGAAGTGCTGTTATGATGTCGATGAAATTACATACAGAAGTTTGAAAGGATCTCCAGGAGGAAAACGAATATGGCTAGCGCACGGTCAAGTGGATAAAATAAAGAAAATGAAGAAGAAAGGAAGAATTGAAGTACACTTTTTGCTTCATCCTTCGAGCCAGATCCTACCTCCGCAGCTTCTCCATTCCGAAAAGAAACCCAGATGTAGTGTTGAGATCATGGCTAAACCAGAATCTAACAGGTATGTTGAACCCTATGGATTCTGACATTTTTTTTATTTTAACGGGGCTTCATTATAAAAGACAGATATTTCAAATCAATTATCTTCATCTGATATTACGTAACAATGTATAACCGACTTTTGCAAGATATCAAAATAAGATTAATATATACTTACCTGAGTAATAGCTAAATGTTATGATATTGAAATATAACCTCATTTATATTACATTTTTAGGAGAACTGAGGCAGCATTGCTATGCTTGGATAAGGCAAACGGTTTGGCACAAGCAATTGCTTTGGGGAAAAAAATTCCAGCTTTAGGTTTGTATCATATAGATCAGACTTCGTTAAATGTCAACTTGTTTCATCCAATAATCAATATTCTATATATTCGTTTGGACACACGTTTGTGTTTGAGTTATACATATTTTGTATTTTGATTAAAAACGTTTCAACTAACCGCTTTCGTTAATAGAAAATTGAATAAGATAACGGAAAATGTAAGTTCTGAACTCAAGTTTTATTCCACAATGTATTGTTACAAATATTTTACTGTTTGACTATCATATTTTGTATTTATCACTACATTTTTATTTTTAGACAAAAATCACTTGGCGTTAGCAAGAAGAATGGAGTTAGAGGTGGACGTGGTTGGACTAGCACGAAACAACTCCAAACAGTACGCGGCTATACAAAAAGCCTTGACCAATAGATTTACGCTCATTCAAGGTCCACCAGGTATTACATTTGTGTCATTGTTTCCAAATCTCATGTAAGAAAGCACGTATATTTGATTACTCTTGAACTCGCCTCTTTGAAGAAAAGGAAAGAAAGACTAACAATGTCTAGCCGGTCTAGAGGGTCTCTAGTTGAGTAAAAGTATTTTTGGGGCAAAATCTGTTGTTGACAGGTTTTTTACAATGAACTTTTTGTGTATGATACAATGTTATAAAGATTTTGTTTCAAGTATGGAAAAACATGAGTACATACTTTTTACATAACACATAGGTACTTATATTTGGAAGTAGGACTCTTGTAAGGCTTATAATTCCCTGCCAAGAGACTGACTAATTGATTTCTGGTAACGAAGAAAAACTTCAAGTGATTAAACATCGATGTTTTATTAATAGAGTGTAAACGAATGCCAAACTATATCTATTTCATTTGTAATTGACAAACAGTTCTGAAGCGATCTATGTTTTTCTGCAACAGCTTGTTACTCATTCATTATCATTAATATATATAGATATTGTTTATAATTTCTTTCTGATAAAATATTGATTCCATTGATTCAGGAATATAACACATAAATGCGTTTGTACTGCTTTTGGAAAATTAACGCGGAGCAAAGGTAACCGTTAAAGCACGCACAAGTCTTTTACATCAAACATTTCATTAACACACTGCAATCACAATTACATAACGGGACTATTTCTAATTATTGTACAAATATACTATTTTATTTCAGGTACAGGGAAAACTTTCACTGGGATCAAACTTTTGTATCTGTTTACGAAACTAAACAGAGTTTGGCATCAAGAAGGCAATCCACTTAAACAGGTGGTCTTTTGTGGTCCGTCGAACAAGTCCGTTGACCTTGTTGCAAGTAGGTACATTTCACTGGCAGCTTACTGGCTTTGAACATATATTCTTATAAAAGGTAAATGAAGGGCAATAATGTTTTAATTGTTCACGTAAAATTCATATCATGGAAACAAATATCGCTCCAAACGTTGCTAAACATATTTTGAAGCTAAGCTACTTCAACTGAACAACAGAATTTATTTAACAACCCGATTATTTCAATACTTTATGCATGATTAATCATACTTTTGTATGAAATTGGGATGTCCATACGTTCTGGAAATATCCCTGACAGTATATAACCTTTGGAGTATACCGAGTTAAGAATTACGTCCGACTCATGAAATGGCTAAGGTACACATCGTTGTTCCTAAATATCTCTCCATAATAATTTGATTTCCGGTTGGAAAGATTCAGGTCAAGGTCTGAAGTCATAGCCTTAGAACACATTTCATTTCAAGACATTATCAGTTTCCGCTCATGAACTCCGAGCTGATTGAACTAAAATTGGACGTTGAGGTTGGATTAAGAGAAAATGGATGTCCAGTTCTTTGGTTTCGATCAACTTGTGGTTCAGATTATGACAATTTCCGACCATTTCTCAGAGCTGGTATGGGATCTTATTCTTTGTTTTATATAGAGAGTTTATCGTACTTGTTTCGTTTGATTTGCAGGGTGGACTAGGAAAAAACTTGGTGAATTAGCACCAAGAATGATCAGAATGTATGGTTCTTCTCATGAATGTATGGACTTCCCTATTCCGGGGAATCTATGGTCTGCGAAATCACGTAGAGCTGAAAACATGCCAGCTAAAGATCTTCAAGACATCGCTTTACATCGTCTGATCCGACAAGAAGGGAAGCCTCACGCCGATGAAATATCAGTCTTTGACAAATATTTCCAGCGATTCCGAGATTGTCCGTCCTTAGGAGACACTGATGAAGCAAATGAGTTTAAGGAGAAACTTAAAGAGTACAAGTCTCTCTTAAGTAAGGCAGGACAGGAAGAACTTCAACACTATGATGTCATTTTCTGTACAACTGCTATTACTACTAACCCAAAATTCATCCGCGGTACAAAAAACAAAATTTTTCAGTGTATCATTGACGAAAGCGGAATGTGCACTGAACCAGAAACTCTTGCTACGATTATCTCTACAAAAGCTGAGCAGGTAGTTCTGATCGGAGACCACAAACAACTCAGACCTGTAGTCATGTGTCAGCACGCTGCAAATCTCGGACTAGAGAAATCCCTCTTCGAAAGATTTTCTGAAAAGGCAATATTTTTGTCAACGCAATATCGAATGGTAAGGTCTTCGTTGTTTACACTGTTAATTGAAACCATAATTATATTATGATTTGATATATATAGGATATCTAATAGCGTCCTCTGCAATCAATAAATTTCACAAGTGTGTCTAATATTTTAGTATCCTTCACGGGTGCACAGAAACAAAAATATAGATACACGATTAAAATATATTTGTTATTACTGAAAACACTATTAAATGTTTCATTTATTATATTTCACAAGCCAAATAGCCAGTGTCGACACGAAAAGAGAATTCAATGTGAATTTATTTTTATATCCACAAAGTTTTTACTTTACTTATCCATGTCACTAACAGACATGTGCTGTAAAACGTTCAGAAATAGTTTAATCTGTGACAGTTAAGAGGCTAAAAATTGCGTGAATCCTCTTGAAATGTCTAGCTCCATTTTCAAGACGTTTGGTTGGGTTTTCGGTTTGACCTCTGATAAGGCATTTGAGTCGTGTTACTTTATAACAACCCTTTAAGGTTTCTGGTTTTTCTCTTTACTGGGATTTATGATTTGTCAATTTTCTAAAATGATTTTTGTTCTCTTTTCATTGGTCTGTAAAATGTTATTTTTGGACGAGTGAAAAATAACTCTTTAATCAATAAGATTTTTCTCTATATTTCACTGGCAAACATGTAAGAAAATATTATGTAAAAAATTTTATCAAAAATGTATTATTTATGAAACATCAACACGATAAAGTGTTTTGGCAGTTAATCAACGATAACTCCATTACACAGTAAGTCATTTTTACTTACAAGATTTACAGTGCATTACTAATTTGATTATCTCTCTACAAGTAAATAATCCATCTATTCATCAATGTATTTCAGCATCCGCGGATATGCGATTTTGTGTCGTCACAGTTTTATGACAACAAACTTGAAACTGCTCCTTCACGTGTGTGGAAGGAGGACAACCCCCTCAGTATCTGGAAATACAGTGAGGTACCGCATATATTCTGCCATGTGGAAGGAGAAGAAGAATATTTAACTGTATCAACAGAGGAGGGAAACGAACAGTCTTGTAGTAATAAGGCAGAGATTGAAAAAGTGGTGAGTGTGGAGTTATTTGCCCGTTCTGTTATACCGTGTTTTGGTTATCCATATCGTGTATTATCTTAATAACATATAGAGGATAATACTTTTATCATTAAAGTACAACGTACAGGTAATAACATGCTCATATTCGGAAGTGAGATATGATATGAGAAATGCAGGCTAAGTCGGCCTCTTTTTTTCACAGGACAATATTCATTCTAAATTGATGTGGAAGTATTTATGTTGCAAGTGTCACAAGTTTTCCAATTACCATAAAGATATATAATTGTTTCGCCTCCCTTGCAGTTGGAGGTCTTTCGACGTCTGGTCAAAACAGTGGATCCTCGGTACATCAACATCATATCTCAGTACAACGCACAGTGTCACGCCATAAAGGAAGGCTTATTACAAGCAGGGTATATCAACTGTAATGTACACACTGTCGTGTCAAGTCAAGGTACATGCTTTTCTATCCACTAGTCTTTGATATACTTCTAGTAACAGTATGTAGTGAATACTGGTTTTTAAAGGACTTCTCATTCTGTCTCAGATTCGATAAAATTTTAGAAAAAATATGAATAAATGGGAGATCTATATTAATATCATTGGGGAAAAAAACTACAGAGAAACTATGAGCATGTGTTGTGGAATAGTTGACGTATTTAATGGAACTTGCTATGTTAATTTGATAAATCAATGTAAACCTTTCGAAGCGACCCAAAGTATTCAGGACGAAACACTGACGTTTTGACATATTTCAATATCAGGTATATGAAAGTATTTTTTTCAATAATCTTCTCAAATTTCGTTCTTGAAAGAATTACTTAACTAATACTGTAAGTTTTTTTTTTCTCTTTTCATTTTTATCTTTCTGCTTCAATTCGCAGGTGGAGAATGGGACTACGTCATATTCACTACTGCAAGATCGCTACCGCATTACAAAATCGAAGATACACCTACTCTTGGTTGGTGTAAACAGAATCTTGGCTTCATCACTGATGAACACCAGATAAATGTAGCTTTGTCGAGAGCTCGCAAAGGCCTCATCATCATTGGTAGGTACAGCTCTGTGTCTCTGTATCATATTCAGTAGAAATTGATCGGCGGATGAATATACAAAATTTGATATCCTGTACTTTGTTATTGGATATCTGCACTGAAAAATAAGTAAACTAAGGATGGTGACATTAATATAATGAATATTTAAACATTTAGAAAGGAAATTAAACAGAAAAAATAATATATCATAAAAATAATATTTTGTTAATTAAGCCAACGAGAATATGCAAAATAAAAACATAAGCAATACATTTTTTTTTTCGATCTAAGGAGGAACTCACTCTGATCAACCTTTGACCGACTGTTATCGTCGGTTTAATTCAGCGCATTAAATACATGTTTATATGAATGATACATTTACAGGAAACAAAAACCTGTTGAAATGTGACAAAGTTTGGAAAAGGCTACTTGACCACTATGCAAAAAGAGGATGTGTTGTTGACGCCGGGGAATATCCACCTCGCCAAAAGAAGAGGAAAGCTGGCAAAAAAGCTTCACGTCAGACCTCTGTAGAGTTCTATAACGGCACTGACTTAGCCTGAGCACATCTATGGTTCTATGTCTACTAAAACGAATAAGCTCTGAGGCCGGAAAAAACATGCCAGTATCACCATTGTACAGATGTCATATATTTGGCTCTACTAACTTTTTCATTCTTTATATTCCTTTCTGATGTGTTTCGAAGGACAACTTAATACATGATACAGAAGATGTACGATTATAAATCTAAAAGATGATCAATTACGTCATATTGTTTGCAATATTCTTTTTCATTCATTAGAATAATAAATTTTGTTGAAATTTTGCTTGAATGATATCATCACATGCTACTAAATATGTATGTACCACTTCATAATATGTTTAACTTTGATAATCATATTCACATATTCGCTGATACATTGAGGGCATGCGATATGTTAATGCTTTATAAGTGTATGAAATGTAAACAACTCGGTTCTGGTGCAGGCAACATTGAATAATAGTGAGTGATGCCTGCACTCATTGACCATTCAGTGTGGTATGTTACTGGAAGAAAAGTTCTACTGGAAGTGTTCTGGATTTAGGTTATAATGAAAGGCCGGTGTATGATACTAGAAGAGTGGGTAATAGTGAAGGGCCACTGTGTAATACTAGAAAATAATTTCTACTGGAAGTGTTCTGGATTTAGGTTATAATGAAAGGCCGGTGTATGATACTAGAAGATGAGTTCTTCAGGATCTATTCTGGGTGCGGGTAAAAGTGAAAGGTTACTGTGTGATACTAGAAAATAATTTCTACAGATCTGTTCTGGGTGCGGATAAATTTGTGATACTAGAGGTTTTGGTCAGAGAGTATATTTGAGTAATGAAATTTCACATTGTATACTCCACCACGACGCTAGATATTGTGCTTTAGGAGAATGATTTATATGTTCTCTAACAGAATCGATTTTATATGATATCATTAGGTAGCATTTTACGTGCATGAAATTGTATGATTTTCACTGAAATGAACATTCCGTTTGTATTTGTCTTCACTATAAATATTACATACACGTTAAACATGTACTATGGTAATATGACTATGTTAAACATGTACTACGGTTATATGACTATGTTAAACATGTACTACGGTTATATGACTGGTAAACATGTACTTCGGTTATATGACATATTATTAGCTGTATATACATTTTAAACTAGGGGACAAAAGCAGTATTAAATCATGCGTAGCGCTGTTTTGAGTGCAGCTAACATCGTTAACATATTGAACTAGTCAATCAAAATAGGAATGTAATGTTGTTAGTTTTGTAGTATTTCATGATCGATGTTCCCTGAACTCGTAATCACGTCTTATCTGATAATAGCGTTATATATGATATATGTTGCCCTTTGTATAAAATTAAGTCGTGCATATTAGATGATCATAAATGTCTATTTAAACATGTATAATTCACAAAAAAAATAGTTGATGTACTTACATACTTCTATTTATGTTGATTACACGTAATCTCCGTCCACATTTTGTACCTAACTCAACACAATCATTTGTATCAATTTGTAGCGAACTAATTGTTCTGTTGTTTTATATCTCGAATGCTTCTTTAATATCTCGAATGCTTCTTTAATATCTCGAATGATTGTTTTATATCTCGAATGATTGTTTTACTTTTTTGACGAGAAAATCAAATGTAAATGTTACATTCGTCATTTATTTGATTCTTTTTCTAACTTTAACATAACAGTCTATATGTTCCTGAAAACCACCGGGAGGGTTTATTGTCATCACTCTGATCTCGAAGAGAAAATATTATTTTCTCGTGTAATGCATAGTTACATGTGTTTAATCCTCATTAGTATGTGGAGTGATTTGGTTGTTGTAATTTCTATTCACTTGCGCCGATGAAGTAATCGAAGTTAATCCTTCTGGAATATCTGGTTTCATTTCTAGTGTACCTCATTCATCTGTCCATGAATGGCCTTCGTTTTAATAGAGTTTAGATAATAGAATTTTGTTAACACGTTGATGTTTCCCTGCTGTTTGTGTATGATAGGACAGTTGTATACCAAATAAGTGGATAGTCGATATTGATTAAATATTATTGTATATAGAATAAAGAGCTGGAACTTTCTTGGGGCTCTATTGAAACAAACATTTGGTAGCTATAGACACCCGGTCTTTACTTTACCTTTATGGTGTGGATTCACTTATTTAATCATAACGCAGAAATGTATTTTCAAAATTTGAAATTCTTATCTAATTGTAGATAAAACATAGCCTTTTCAACCGTTTTATATCATTATGTATAATAAGCGCACATCTTGGAAGTCCAGACGCAATTGTCTGATCATAAGCGACAACATAATACATATTTGTACACAAGACATTCGGTATTTCTGTAGACCGAGTCACTCATTGTGTTTTAAATAATGGTATAAAACAACTTCCCGAAGATAAAGTAAATCCTTGAATTTTTCATTAATCGCGTGCAGCTAAAGGTATCTTTTTCAAATCTCTATTTCATTTATAATTGTATCTGAATTTACTGGCTTGCAGTCATATTTCTGTAAACGGTTTTGTATAGTATGTTTTGTATAATCTTAATGAAGTCTTAATGCTCTCATATTAATAAGCACATCATGTCGGAGCTAGTGTGCTCTATATCAATTTTGAAGAAATATCTTTTTTTTCTATCAAAACTCACAATGTGCCAATCTTTATATGCAAAAGTATAATGCAATGTTGGTGTTTCATTATTATCTTTAATTTCTATATCTACTTTAGCATGATGACGTTTTGTTGTGTAGTAAAAAAAAACTCTATTATGCCTTTTGCTTTTATATGCATTACCTGTATTCAATTTGATTTGATTTTGAATGTAAAATTCGTAAACTAGACTAAGTAACTGTATTAATGTTACTTTCAATTTTTTAACTTATCAAATATTTCGTGTTTTAAACATCATATTTTTCTTATATTAGCACATAAAACATACCTTTTAGCAATGTTTTGGCTTGGATGAAATGCCATTGTATACTTTTATCTCTGATATACCGTAAAGCTGGTATTTTCATTGGTCAAAATTTTCATTATTTTCTTTTCAAACGATCAAAAATATTTTAACGAAAACAAAATCCGCTATCTTGATGTAAAATGACATCTATATACACTTGTGACTCATCATTTCACAGATTTTATTTTCACAATCACGTAAATGTACCGCGAAACAGCGAAAATATCATCACCGCGAAAATAAGAGGCTATACGGTATCTTATTGATCTCATTTTCAAGTTTGTAAGTACAGTTTTAATTGATGAAATATCATTTGGATGCAACAAATATGTGCAAGTTCTAAGCTTTATTCTTTCATACACTAATCGTCGATGTAATGATATAAATAAAATAATCAATGCCAAACATTTTACCTTATGAATCGAATCAAACGTAGCAATGTAACAAACAAGGAGAACACACATGATATCTGGCACGACGGCATACTAACACCAAATTATTCAGACCAAGAAAGGCTTTAAGAGCTCTGTTTTACAGTGTACTTGATTTACTGGACAAAGTGTAGTTTTGAACAAATAAAACGAAGAAATGTCGGGATGGTATTTAAAGTTAAAATAATTTTCATCAAAAATAATGAGCATTAATTAGCTTTAATACGATGTTTAGTTCTACACTTAGATTATGCTATAATGCAAATAAGTATTGCGATTTTACGTCTTGATACTGAGGTCATCAACAGACAAGGTAAATGTTTACCATTCTAATCAAGCAAATCAAACAAAGCTGTAACAGTTACAATATTGATCAAACATGAAATCTCAATAGACATCCCTACAAATTTACTTTACCTTTTCCCTAATGGAGCTCTACAACCACTGAACAGGAGTGAAATTAAGTCTCATCAATTTCCAGAAATCATGGCACTAAGACGTTTGATTTTTTTGTTTTTTGTTTGTTTGTTTGTTTGTTTTTTTGTTTTCTGTTTTTTGTTTTTGTTTTTGTTTTTTTTTTTTGTTTAAAATCTAAAGTACCTACCCATTGTCCCTTACTGTCTGATTTATCGTTTATAACATATCGCACTATGTAATAGAATGGAATATGTTTTCACTTATCCAAAGTCAGTTTACATCCATTTGCAATCTGTTAATTCTCAAAATCGAAGCAGAACCGAGAAGAGTGACAAAAACCTCAGTTTAACGTAACTGATGTGTCGGCCTCGACTGGACCGTTATTTGTCAGTCCCCTCGTGACCGTAAGCTATCAGTCCCCTCGAAGCCGGAGAATGTCAGTATCCTTGAAGGCCATACGATATCAGTCCCTTCGGGACTATAAGATATCAGTCCCCTATAGACCGTAACATGTCGGTCCCTTGAGGGCCTTAAAATGAAAATTCCCTCGGGGCCGATGTCGGTCCCCTCAAGGCGGTAAGATGTCAGTCCTCTCGGTGCCGTACAATGCCAGTCCCCTCAGGGCCGTAAGATGTCAGTCCCCTCGAGGTCGTAATATGCCAGTCCCCTCGGGGCCGTAAAATGTCAGTCCCCTCAGGACCGTAAGATGTCAGTCCCCTCGGGGCCGTAAGATGTCAGTCCCCTCGAGGCGTAAGATGCCAGTCCCCTCGGGGCCGTAAAATGTCAGTTCCCTCAGGACCGTAAGATGTCTGTCCCCTCGGGGCCGTAAGATGCCAGTCCCCTCGGGGCCGTAAAATGTCAGTCCCCTCGGGGCCGTAATATACCATTCCCCTCGGGGCCGTAAGATGTCAGTCCCCTCGGTGCCGTACAATGCCAGTCCCCTCGGGGCCGTAAAATGTCTGTCCCCTCAGGACCGTAAGATGTCTGTCTCCTCGGGGCCGTAAAATGTCAGTCCCCGCGGGGCCGTAAAATGTCAGTCCTCTCGGTGCCGTAAAGTAAGCAAAACTATTATTTATTCACGGAGTACTTCATTCTTTAACACTCACTACAAGAGAACTACAGTTAGGAAGGAAAATGACCACCAAAATAGTGACATTTGAATTATTTTACCAAATAGATTTATGAGTTATTTTTCTGAATCTAAAACATGAAATAACATCAATAAAATAATTTTCAATGAATTATAGTTGTAATATTAAAAACCTATAAATCTACACAATTCCTGTCCTGTATACGAAAACAATTTTATCTAGCTTAGTTGTAAGAGGCGTATGTAAAAATGTAAAAGCCGACATTCAGAGCAGAAAATGGCTTCTATACATGAATAGAAAGGGTAGGCCTGGATGACATCATTACTGCTGGATAAAGACAGGGAGTCACCATAGCTGACCAGACACTGAGATACTTCCGAACACATCTTCAGAATCTCTTCCCAACTCACCGTTCATTTTACTTAAAGCCTAAAGTATATGCATTGTGTACATTGAGTACTTTTATAACTTATACACGGGACAATCTATTTTCCATATACGATGTGTTATATCAGGACAATCCATACGATATTTTCTGAAATGAAGAAAGGGTTTTCTGTCCCGTATCCTACAGTGTTTACAACACAGTGAAATGCAAAATGATTTTTCTGTCATGTCTCCTAAAGTGTTTACAACACAGTAAAATACAGAAGAAGTTTTCTGTCCCGTCTCTTGCAATGTTTACAAGATAGTGAAATACAGGTGTTGTCTGTCCCGTCCCCTTCAGTGTTTACACCACAGTGAAATACAGGAGTTTTCTGTCCCGTCCCCTTCAGTGTTTACACCACAGTGAAATACAGGAGTTTTCTGTCCCGTCCCCTTCAGTGTTTACACCACAGTGAAATACAGGCGTTTTCTGTTCCGTCCCCTTCAGTGTTTACACCACAGTGGGATACAGGAGTTGTCTGTCACGTCCCCTTCAGTGTTTACACCACAGTGGGATACAGGAGTTGTCGGTCTCGTCCCCTTCAGTGTTAACACCACAGTGGGATACAGGAGTTGTCTGTCCGTCCCCTTCAGTGTTTACACCACAGTGAAATACGGGAGTTTCCTTTCCCGTCCCCTTCAGTGTTTACACCACAGTGGGATACAGGAGTTGTCTGTCCCGTCCCCTTCAGTGTTTACACCACAGTGGGATACAGGAGTTGTCTGTCCCATCCCCTTCAGTGTTTACACCACAGTGGGATAGAGGCGTTTTCTGTTCCGTCCCCTTCAGTGTTTACACCACAGTAAAATAAAGGAGTTTTCTGTCCCGTCCCCTTCAGTGTTAACACCACAGTGGGATACAGGAGTTGTCGGTCCCGTCCCCTTCAGTGTTTACACCACAGTGGGATACAGGAGTTTTCTGTTCCGTCCTTTTCAGTGTTTACACCACAGTGGGATACAGGAGTTGTCGGTCTCGTCCCCTTCAGTGTTTACACCACAGTGGGATACAGGAGTTGTCTGTCCCGTCCCCTTCAGTGTTTACACCACAGTGGGATACAGGAGTTGTCTGTCCCGTCCCCTTCAGTGTTTACACCACAGTGGGATACAGGAGTTTTCTGTTCCGTCCCCTTCAGTGTTTACACCACAGTGGGATACAGGAGTTTTCTGTTCCGTCCCCTTCAGTGTTTACACCACAGTGGGATACAGGAGTTGTCTGTTCCGTCCCCTTCAGTGTTTACACCACAGTAGGATAGAGGCGTTTTCTGTTCCGTCCCCTTCAGTGTTAAAACCACAGTGGGATACA